CTCCCGGGGCGCTCGTGCGGGGCGCGCGGCAGCGCTCCGGCGTGAGCCCACGCGCGCTCGAGGTCACACCGAGGGTGATCGCTGCTCCGTGTGGCTCCCGGGGAGCGGCCGGAGCTGGGGGCCGGGGCTCGGCAACTTAAGTTGCTCTCACTCCGTGATATCCGCTTCGTACCTATGGGCACCGGGGGACCCCGCTTTCCACGGGCCCACGCACCCCTCCCTTCCCTCCATCCCTCGGGCCCACTGGAGTTTTCTGGCCCTGGGGTCCATGGAAGGACATGGTATGGCTTCCTGTGGGAAGGGGAAGCGGAGGCAGAACAATGGGGCGTCCTGGGGAGTGGGGTTCAGGTGCGGTGTGCCGGGGCCGCGGCGCACGAGGAGGGGCGCAGGACCCGGTGGCTCGCCCTGCGCGTGCAGCTGCGCTCCACTCCTTTGTTCGGCCACAGCGGAGGGGGCTGCCCCGGGTCCCGTTTCCTGCCCGGGATGGGATTGATTCACAGTCCCAGAGAGGCTTGGGGAAGGGGGCGGGGCTCGGATGGAAACCAGATTGGGAACGGGAGCCCCGGAGGGTGCTGGGCAGGGTGGAGCGCTGGGGAGGGGGTTGATGAGAGTGCGTTGGAGTTAATTACAAACACAACCTTCTGTCTGAAGGCCTGTGGAGTTTATTTGCGGTGCTTTGTTCGTGCTACGGCCTAGCACTAATTGTTGCAACAAGTTCTGTTCTTCCTTGAAGTTGTAGGCTCTGGCCCTGGGAGTTTGCTGAAAGCAGATCTTGTTAGTTAGAATGGATGAAGAGCTTTTTTCTTTTCTTTTTTTTTTCCTTTTTTGAAAGATTTTGCAGTCAATCAGGATACTTGTGTACGTGTATATCTGTGCATTTCATTGTGACTCGAATAGGCAGACAACAAAACAAAACAAAACACCCAAACAAAAAACTGTGTTTTGACACATGGCTTATACCCTGGCCGACCTGGAACTCAGAGACCCGCTTGCCTTTGCCTCAGTGCTGGGACTAAAGGTGTGCACCACCACCCCCGCCTAGGGCGTGTGTAGAATCATTTTGACAAAATAGTTTTCTTCATCATCCTACAGTATAGTATGATGCATTTCCAAGAATATTTGAGGCTTGGGAACCACCAGGAAATCAGACGTTGCTAAATAAATGAATCAGATGATGTAATACCGAGTGGAGAATTCTTTTGTCCTTGGTCCTAGAAAAAAACAAAAAACAAAAAAAACAAAAAAAACACCCCACACTCTTTTTGGGGTTGGGTTTTGAGACTGGAGCCACAGCTTCAAGTGCTCTGTGATTTCCCGCTGCCTGTGGACCAGCTGGAGTAGGAGAGAGGAGAACATGCTTGACAGTGAATAGTTCTCTCTTTTTTAGGAGGAGTAAAATTGCGTGTAGTACGTCAGGCCTTAGTGAAACTGACCCCGTCCTAGACTAGAGTCGACAATCTCAGAAGGACTGGCCGAGCTCAGACTGGGAGTGAGCCTTGGGGACTGAGTGAAGGTTGCTTGTGAGCAGGGCATTCCAAGCAAAACTGTTTGGGGAGGAGGAGGCTGACATTTCCAGGCATTGATGGTTGTGCCTGTGGGACGCCGATGGAAGAGACCCAAAGTCCAGCGCAGGTTAGAATTACTGTGGTGTTAGATAACCTAGCAGCCTCCTGGCTGGGACCCGCGCTGCCTGTTGGACAAGCTGAGGGGCCACCGTGAAACCACCACGTTGGCCATTTGCTGCTAAGAGGAGCTGAAGCCGAAAGCCTTTTAACCTTAGAAGGCGAATTGGGAGCTTACTCTGGGGGAAAAAATGTTTTGTGCCCGCTAAGTGGTAATGGAAAAGAGCTGTGCAAGCTCCTGCCTGTCTCTTTGGAGGGGGGTGTGGTCAGGCGTTTGGGCCAGGCTGTAAAGCGGTGGAACATGTCCTGAAAAGCCATTGTGATGTGGAGTTGGAGTGGGACGGTGTCCAAGTGTTGCGTTGTGTGTCCTTACAGCTGACACACGGGCTGGCAAAGCACAGTGCCACAGACAGTCCACAGAGTGACTTGACTCTTTTTTTTTTTTTTTTTTTAATTATCCCGCCATTCTAGACTTTCCATTCATATGAGCTGTTTTGTTAAGTGCGGTCGGTTGGATGCCTCCCAAGTGCTCTTGGGTCCATACATTAACAAAATGTAAAGCCTAGTGCTGCTGGAGACATGAATGGGAGACTCCTTAAAGAGCTAGCTGGTTTCTGGCCTCTGGCTGTCCCGGTGGATGTGGGGCTGTCCCGGTGGATGTGGGATTGTGCGATACGTCAGGCAAGAGGTTGCACACCCTTCTGGGATGAATCATCACTCTGTCAAATCTGGAGTTGAGGGCTGGCTTTCCCTGGGTGCTGCACAGCTCGGTAAAGCAATGGGGTTGGACTGACATCACTGGGGAGGAGTGTGGGCTGGGAGTGGGCCGGGCATTTGTCTAAGAAGAGAACGGTGGTGTCCTTGGCATCTCTTGGGGGTCCATGCCTGTACCACTTGACCTCCTTTTGGGGCGAGGTGTGTGTCTCTTCCATCTCTGCCCCATTGTTGGCGGCAGCTAGACATTTAGATTTTAATGGAATAGGCTAATGCTAGTTATAGTTACCGCTGAGGAGGTTCATTATGTGCAGAATTTTACAGACATCCTCTCTATATTAATCTTTAAAATAACTTGGCCAAAGGTCTCAGTTAGCCCAGGCTGGCCTAGAGCTCCTGATCCTCCAGGCTCTTCTCCCACCCCCAGGCTAGCGTTACAGACACAGCCCACCGTGCCCAGTTAAAATTATTTATTTATTTATTTGTTTGTTTTGAGACAGGTCTTTTCTTCCCAGACTCTCCAGAAATCACTATATAGTCTGTGCTGGTTGTTATCGAATGGCAATCCTCCTGCCTCAGCCTCCCGTGTGCAGAGATTGTGTGAGCCAAAGCTCCCTGCTCAGTGCATTGCCTCTTGTTCTGCTAGAGTTCTGCAGGTCTCTAGTAAGTGACAGACGTGAGGTTTGAGTGCCTGATTCTAACACTGTGTAATTGCTGGGCGTGGTGCTGTATGCCATTAATCCTCGTAATCTGGAGGCGGAGGCTGACAGTGAGTTCAAGGCCAGCCTGGACTACCGAGTTCCAGGACAGCCAGGGCTATGTGGAGAGACCCTGTCTGAAAAAACAAACCACAAACATAAACAAAATAGTGTGAATAATCATAATTTGACTGTTCACCTGAATCTCTGCAGGTTCCAAATCATTATCACGTGTATTATAATTGATCCTTCCCTAAAGCCACTGTGAAGTAGGTTTGGAATTGCAGATCCAAGGACATTACTGTTTCTAAAATATCATGGTTTGAAAGGTGTATATGAATGCTTAAAAAATACCCCACCCCACCGGGGTCTTATGTAGGCCAGGCTGGCCCAGATCTTGCTGTGTAGCTGAGGATGACCCTGAATATCTGTGTGTCGTCCGTGTCCCGTCCCCCCCCCCCCCCCCGCTTCCCTCTCCAGAGTGCTCGATTACAGGCTTGTGCCGCCTCGCTTATGAGGCTGTGGAGGTTGAATTCAGGACTTCCTTCATGCTAGGCAAGCACTCTCCCGAGGGAGTTACATCTCCAGCTCTCTTGATGGCTGTGTAGTCGAGGCTGGCCTGGAATTTGCCGTCCCTACACCCCTGTGAACACTGGGATTAAAGGCGTGTGCCACCACACCCAGGTTACATAAACAACTTTATTTATAAAAAGTTAGGCTGCCAACATTTAAAAATAAGTTCTTTTTTTAAAAAAAAACACTTCAAACTGGTAGAGTAGAAGTTGACTTTATATAGGATTATCCGTTTTCTCTTTCTTGAAGTCCATTTTAGTTCTTTTTATCTTAAAGCCTTTAAGAACACTGCCCTTTGCTCCTCAGCTGAGACCCAGGAGGAATGTGATGCCGAGAGGAAGTGGGACATCAGAATTGGAAACACACGAAGCCGCAGGCTGAGGATTTTCCCAGCACATGCTCTCCGCCCGGCGGGGGCCTTTTGCGAAGACATTCTTCCGTAGGGAAGTGTCAAGGGTCTCCTTCACTGGATGCTCTGAGGTCATCACATTACTGAGCTCTGTGGGAACACACTCCACATGATTTGTGTGCTTAGTCCTTCCCCACTGGGATGTGAACTAGTTTAGACATCAGGGTGGAAGGGGGACAGAGGTGACCTGTGTCCTCGGACTGGAGCAGAGTGGTGCTGGGCAGAGAGACCAGGCCTTGGGACAGACTGACCACCAAGCCAAGTGCAGGAGCAGGATGGAGCCTTATATTGACACACACGAATTATTTATGGAGTTCTTAGATGCTCCTGGGAAGATTAAAGAAAAATCACATCCCCCCCTTATACACACACACACACACACACACACACACACACACACACACACACCATACATGTATACATACATAGACATGTTCCTAACATGAGAATTTAGAGACTGTAAATTGTGCCTTTATTTGTCTTAAGTATTTCAGCCCAGGATACTCCTGGGGTCTCCAGGGTCAATGGTGTCGCAGTGGCTTGGTCTCTTCCTGCCCGTTAACTTCTCTGACAAAGGCCACACAGGCCCTGCAGACCGGTCCTGAAGCGGTGCTTGGGCGGGTGGAGGAGAAGAGCCCTCAGCAGACGGCCCT